AACCTAGAATCTTGAATTTGATTGCATGATATTCTTGATTTGAACAAGAGATTGTGAATTGAGTATTTCATTATTGAATGTGGTTTGATTATGTATCGAGTAATGTTAAGTGCATGAGAAATCCAAGCTTAGTATTGCCCGTTGTCTTCCTATCACATGATATTGATCAGACTTATAGTCTTTGCATATCCCGTTTGTCTCTGTGATTCCTTGTTGCTTAGTTACCAATGGTTAGGCGGATTCTCGTTCTCCCTAGTGTCTTAGTTTATTGATTTATTCCATCTTATTAGTAGTATTTTAGAACACCATTTTCCATTGATTTCGAACTAGCTTAGGTTTAAGATTGATTTGCAATTACTCTCGTTCCTCGTGGACCGAACCTTTATTTGCCATTGTACTTGGTTACAGGGTGTTCGTATAAGTATTGTTTGATTGAGAGTTAGATTGTAGCGACCGATTTAACCCTTGTCAGGCGCAAGCAGGCTAGCAGCTGGCGGGCCATGTGTGCTAGCGTGCTAGCATGCTGGGCCTCACACCCAGCTACTCGCACCACGCAGCAGCCCGCATTGCGTGCGTGGCTTGCTTGCTGCGCGCATGCAAAGGCAGGCTGGCCAGCTACCCCAGCCTTGGTGCTAGGCGCCAGCTGGGCAGCCATGGCAGCCAAGGTAGGCTACCAGCCAGCCATGCGTGGAGTGAGCTTTCGATCAAAGTAGGACCGGTCTTGGTAGCTTGCTTGGGGAGCAAGTGGTGTTTGGTCCCCCCCTCCTTAGTGGTCCTTGCCTACCCTTGCTCACCATTTGCCACTTGGCGCTTGTTGAGTCATTTGCATTTTAATTTGTTTTTGGATGAAAATAATTGAGCAAAATGCAATTCTCCCACATTGAAGGGAGATGGGAAATCAAGATTGTCTTCCCTATAAATACCCTTGTTTTGGGTTTGGGAAGAAGCACTTGAGTTGAACTCAATAAGGCATATCTTTATAAGTGAGAAAACCTTTAAGTTCGTAATACTCTAGTATTTCCATGGTCTAGCCCCGACTAACCTTCGGGGTAGAGACCGCTCGGGTCGGGTCGAGGGTGCGAGCCATCGGAGGCTTACGCACTTGCGAAGCTAGAGCTTTCAAGTAAGATCTCGTAAGCGAGCGAAGCACGCGATGAGGGTAAGATCGTCTTTTCTCTTTCTATCTCTTTTGTTGTTTAATTATGTGATTGCATGTTTAGTTACATTAATTAGTGTGCGGGTCTTGGGCGGGTTTTATTCCGCGTAGTGTCGGACACTACGAAACCCAACAGTGGTATCGGAGCCACGCTCATTTTAATTATTGTAACTAATAATTAATTGAGGTGATTTAAAATGGATTTAAATTTCTGGTTTTGCTTTCTAATTAGATTAGAAGTTCGTTTTAATTAGTTTTAATCTTGTATTTATACTAATTTTGACTCACAATCCCAGATTTCGACCCAAAAATAGTGAATTTTGGGTGGAATCGATGTTCTAAATCGTTTTTAAGGCTCTTTAAGGGCTGTGTAGAAGCCAAAATCCACCTTGAAACATGTTTTTCGAGGGGTTTTTCGTTTTTGACAAAAAATATTAAATCTTTAAACCTTGATGAATTATGGCATGTTAATGGTAGATTATATGTATGGTTGCATCACTAATCTACTGCAATAATAAAGCTCATTAAGCATGTTTATGAAGTCATATTTGGTGCTTAATTTGGTGAGCTCATTTTTCACATAAACTTGAAATTTCACATTTTTGCAAATCAATTGCTTTAAGTGAATGTTTATGGTGAATTTGTAATTTTGAACTCCCTTAAAAATGTTAAAGATCCAATCTTTAATTATTTATTTGGTTGGTGTAGGGTTTCGTAGTGACCCGACACTACGCGGAAGGAAACCCACCAAGAGCCGCCCCTTAATTAAAGCAATTAACAAGCATAATAAACATAATTAAGCAAGACTAAGAACAAGAATTATACCTTTGTAGCTTGCTTCGCTCCCGAAGAGCTCTTACTTCAAAAATCCCGAAACTACGAGATCTCCGACGGATCGTACCCTCGACCCCACCCGAGCATCCCAAGTCTTGAAGGTTAGTCAAGATCCGGACAAACAAAACTATGAGTTTCACGAATTAAAGGTTTACTCTAATTACGAGAGTTACCTTTTTTAATTCCACTCAAGGTTACTCATTTCCCAACACCCTTGAAGGGTACTTATAGGGAAATGGGTCCTTGGTTTTCAATCTCCCACCAATGTGGGAGAGTTGAAAAATCAATGATTTATTTAATTTCCAAATTAAATTAATAATCAATTAAATCATATTGCAACAAGTGGCATGATCATGTGCAAAGGAGTAGTGCCCAAGGTTAGGTGGGGGACCATATGCCTTGCACCCCAAGGGGTGGATTTGGTCCCCACACTATTTTTTACAACCGTGCTATGGCTGTTGGACTTCCAGCCAGCTGGCGTGCCAGCTAGCGTTGCCAGCTAGCATTGCCCAGCAGTATCCCAGCCAGCCAGTGCTTGCTGGGCGATGCTAGCGCTGGTGCTGTGTGCTAGCGCCTAGCGCTGCTAGCACATTGTGCTAGCGTTGGCCCCCAGCAGCCCACGCACTGGTTGGCGGCGCACATGCCTCGCATAGCACGCAGCAGCCTCGCACTAGACGCATCAGCCTCGCACCCCACGCACCAGCCTCGCACCCCACGCACCAGCCTTGCACTCCACGCACCAGCCTCGCACCCACGCACAAGCGCCACACGCATTGCTAGCCCAGCCAGTGCGCCTACGCACGCAAGGGCCTAGCATGTGTGCTGAGCGATGCTACGAGGCATCCACGCACTAACACATGCGCCAGTGCCTAGCACTGGCTGTGCTTGGTGCGTGTGGCCCTGCCATGCGCGTCCAGCATGGTGCTAGGGCTGCGATGGCGCCCAGCCATCCTAGGGCACGCATGGTGCGCCTAGGCATGCTTCTTGGGCTGTGATGGTGCCCAGCCATCCTAGGGCACACATGGTGCGCCTAGGCATGGTGCTAGGCCGAGTCTAGCCTAGCAACCCACATGGCTAGGCCAGTGTGGTGCTAGGGCTATGTTCATACTTGTTCCTTTGTGATTTTGCGACGCTCGGTCTCGACGCCCTAGGCTCGATATCCGACGTCTGTATTCGTAAAACTCTGTTAACTCATTAAATCCTTTCGGATTAATTCGTCGTCTCAGATCGGTGATTCGATTGGGTTCGACCCGAAGGGTTCAGTTAAGATTAAGCTGTAATATCAATTGTACCTTGATACTACTGATCGGAAGTGGCCTCCACCTAGGCATTCCGATCACTTGATCTTACTGAAGAACTAACTCTGTAATAATTTTGAACCCTCTATCGGAAGAATACACTTGTTGGAAGGACACCATTCCTTTCAGTTGGAACTTTACTTTCTAAATTCCATGTTGAACTAATTTTTGGATTTAATCAATTTTTAGTTGATTAAAGTCCTAAAAGTTCAAAACTTGTGATTATTGAAATTCAAATAATCTTCATATTGGATGATGTAATTTTTCAATTTTAGACAAGTTAGTGTTGGAAATTTTTCATTAGATGAATGGGTTTATTTTTCCAACCCCTTTAATTTTCTCAAATCTCATTATTAATTTATGTATGGTTAAATTAATTGTGAGAATAGCCCTTCAATTTGTAGCATCAAGATGAACCTAAAATAATTTAAAGAATGATTCTTGAATTTATTTTGGTTAGTGCACTAAAATTGAATTTATTTAAGTTGGACTTATTTTATTTTCATTTTTGCTCTAAATTGGTTCTAAAATAAATTTAGAATTAATTTTTTATCACACACAAACCGGGATTAAATCCCGAGACAAGTGCAAGCAAATCGAGTTAAAGACCGCCCAAAAACATACCCTTCGGATAGCCGGGCTGCTCACGCAGCCCACATGTGGCTGCCAAGGTGCGTGTGTGGGATGCCTTGCCACGACGGTGCTCTAGTGTGTGGTGGATGCAAGTATGGTGCACACTTGGTGCTGCGATATGTGTGCAAAGGCTGCGGTTTGGTGCGACATAAGGGCAGCAAGCTAACAAGTGCTAGCAGGCCAGGCACAAGCTGCCAGTGCCAGCATCATGCAAGCATGCGTAGCATGCTGCGAGGCTGCTGGTGCCAGAAGGTGTGGCGTGCGCTGCTAGCTGGGCAGGCCAGCACCCAAGCACGCATAGCCAAGGCCCTTGGTGCCTAACAAGACTAGCCTCATGGCTTGGATGTTAGGACTCACTCGTTTGGTAAGCTATCTTTTTGCGTTAATTGGGTCGTCTTAATTATTTTAATTAATTATTTTAACGAGGCTAGGCCTTGGTTCCTCCGGCACTTGCAAAATAATTTGGCAAAATATGGGTTAACCGACTTAATTCACTACTACAATCCCAGCCTTTTGACACTTTTTTCCATTATTTACGACGTGGAAAAGCGTCGCTAATGAGAAAAAGTGAGTCTAGAAATTCGCGACGCTTTTTCGTGTCACAAATCTCGACGCCATTATATGTCCCAATATTTTTGGACGCTTTTTAGTGTCTTAAATATCGACGCTTATTAATGTATTATAAAATATACTAACCGTCGTGAATTTCGATTTTCAAGCTCCACCACCAAATTTCTAGACGCTTTTTCCCGTCTACATTGTCGACGTTGTTTTCAGTCTCAAAATCAATTAAGACGCTTTTTAATGTCCACACAGAAATAGTGGCGGGAAGTTTTGAAACTGATTAAAGTAAAATATCTTGACAACAAAAAGCATCTAGATTTTTTTTCTACTTTTTTTTATATATAAATATATATATGGTAATTACTAGAAACTCAGAACATAATAAACAGCAGAGCATGATTAGCACGTTAATCAAAAAAACATACAATAAGTTTTTTCAAATATATATATATATATATATATATATATATATATATATATATATATATATATATATATATATATATATCATGTCCAAAATATCATCATTATTATTACATATATCAACTGCCAACTAAATTAAAAAGTTAGATTGAAGCCTACATAAGTTAAATACTAACTGACTATAAAAAAAAAAAGGTGCATAGTAGGCTAATTTCCATCTTTAGTAGATTTTCCTTGTTCTCCTGTTGCATTCATAACCTTCAAAAAAAAAATATAATAAATATAATATACTATTTAATTGTTAAAAGAAAATACAAGAGTATAATATAAAACTTAATTGCTAAAAAAATTACAGCAGACATTGCATTTCCAGTATTAGCTCGTGGATGCAGATTGATGAGCACTCTTCTTGTTTGCAAAAGGGTAGGTGCTCAGGTAATTGATAGGTGTTTGGCCCTTTTGCTGGGTCGTTGTAGTTTGGGTTGTAAGGGCACATATCTGCACAACAGCAATGCACAACAACAAACAGACCACCAACAATGCACAGCAACAAATAGACCTGCAATAGCAATGCAGATCAACAAACAGACCACGAGCAATGCACAACATCACTCAACAGCAACAGCCACAACCACCAGCAATAACAAAACAAAACATATTGACAGCTTTAATATATGAAAATGATGGTTGTTCTTTAATTTTATCAGAATAGATAGAAAATAAGACTGATTTGGCACAGTTAAGAAGTTCTGTTGAACCCTTTCCATCATTAACTCCACCAACAATTTGAGAAAACTGTCCGATAAGGGTTTTAAGAAGAATATTATTCTCTTGTACTTGGTCTTTTAGCTTTTCATTTTCCTTCTCAAGTACTTCAATTTTTTTGTGCAAAGTAGACATTTCTTCTTTCACATTACTATCCATTACCAGTCCTTTGTTTAATTCTTCTAGACCCGTCCTTCCTTAGCAAAGCATGCACCCCGTAAATGTCGCTCTTTCGAACCCCAAGTTCGTAACCTATAGGACGATCAGGGATCTCTCCACCATGCATGGTCAGCTCAAAGGCTTCATCCTCCTGTTAGGACTTAGAAGGGTTTATCAACCTCAACTGTTCAACTTTAACTTTCACATCATCCTATGAAAAATGTCAAATATTAATATATATTGTAAAAGATCGAACTCATTTCCACATAAAATAACAAGCTTTAAAACATATTTAGATCTTTTACCAAAAAATCTTCGGTAACTGTGCCCGGAAGAAAACTTCCATTCTTGCCTGTATGAGCTTTTATCCAGAGAGCTAATAAGCTCATCTTTTCTCCATGCTCATCTCCTATAGATAGAAAATCATGTGATGCATCTCCACTCATATATGCACAAGGGGCAGTAGATGCAGCCCTTTCTCTTTTTACTCGATAAGTCATACCTACATGACCACATTATAATAGTTAGTAAATGAAGATTGTCAGTAATATATAAAAGAAAGGACTTAACAATTATTCTTTTAAAATTAAGCCATATCACACCAAATCAGGTTTTATCTCTGTTAGCTTATTGCCATATATCTTCAAATCCTTATTATAAAATATATACAGAGAATAGATAATTGGAAACCCTCCACCCCCACAACAAACCAAAAAACAAAATAAAAATCCATTAAAGAATGTAAGACAGGGGGCAATAATCCTTAAAGCCACAGCTAGGGAAAACACAACTGAGGCTCCATACTAGAACTGGCTGCAGCAACACAACAAACTCAGAAAAAGATATTTTTCTTATTTGTTTTTTTTTTTTTTTTTTTTTATGTTATGTTACCCAGAAAGCTTTGCCCTAAGATATCTGATCCTTGTATTCCTTTCATGTAGAGAACCAAAAACTGAAAACTAGGTTTAATGGACCTGCAAACCAATTTATTCCCCAAGAAAAAAAGAAAAAAAAAATCCTCCAAGAGGTGTTTGACTCCATAATAATCTACCCTGGATTCTTAATATCAGATAGCTACATTTAGTAACACCATGTTTTATCAAGAGGCACCATATATCACACTAAATCATGTTCAAATGACATAATTAGTCATTCAAGTACAATAGCAGCTATAGAGATGCAATGTAGAAAGCAATCAAGCAATATGGATAGTATGAATATCTAACAAATTGTCTATAGATCTAACAAATTAATCGTTCCTCTCCTAATAAAATTTCCATCCAAGAATAGCATAGTATGGTATTCTAAATGAGTGATGCCAATCACATAGCTGATTTTCAAGAAACCCCAAAATAAGAACATAACAGCTACTAAGTATTTTATATTTCTGATTTGTAGATTTCACAAGATACAAATGTTTCCAGCACATTTACAGAATCAAACAATACATTCTTGATTCAATAAATTTCTTAGAATATCTTACTATGAAGCACCATAAGGACCTCGGTTTCAGACTTTCGGGTAGAATAATAGGCTTGAACTGGAGCTTCCTGAGCACTACGTTTTAAACTTAGCAGAATTTAAGACCACCAATACCCAAATCTATAGTACACTAAGTTCAAACAAAGCAAGAAAAAAGAAGAGGATAGAGACACAGCAAAAAGACAAGTTATAATTAAAAACTAAATAGTCATCAACCATATTTATCTATTCTTCAGGTAAAATAATTTTCTAGCAAGTAATAAATTACACACAATGAAGATACAGATACAACTTTAAAACACTGAGAATCCGCTCTTGATAAAATACAAAGAATCTAATCTAACAACATTCATGCAATCAACCATTTAGTGCTATAGCTTTACTTGTTAGTCTTGTTAATGAAAATCACTGATAGTCTGAGTCTCCTTACCTCACCAGTGAACTGCACGGTAGTATATTTGTTGTCAATTCCAGATGTTCCTTCAAACACCTGTCAGAAATATAAATCAGACTGCCTGAGTGAATTTCTTTTCATAAGACAAAACTGCTTAAAATTCTCCCATTTGTAGAAGCATTGTCTAATAGTTAGGATTAGTGACAGCAGGTCAGAAAAAACTAGTGTCACATTTTTCATATATGATCAATATCATAAATTATGTAAAACTATTTTGGGAGATCTATCTACCATACATATGACACGAAAATATAATATACAATTATATGAAATATAAAATCATTTAGGAATTTGGGTAGTTACCTCGGCCAACTCGCTAAGTGCAGCAACTATCACAATCTAGAACAATTTTTAGACAAGCTCCTCCTCTGTCACCTATTAAACACAAAAACACAACATCAAATTTTAAGATATGTCATAAATATTAGCCTATTGGCTTAAGATTTATATATATTTTTTACATAAGTCAAACTTGTACGATTTTAAGTAATCAATGTTACAAATATATTCTTTGGCATACAAATGTGATACTATCAATCATCAGGTTTATTTATAAGATAGTCTCTTGGCATCCATTTGTGAAGGTACGGAGAATATATTTACACTAGGCATGACCAAAAAGACTACACATTTGATTAACATTTGCGGAGTATTTCAAGTTTGGATGCAATATGAATGGAAATCCTTATAAAAAATACGGTTAAAAAAACCTAGAATCAGTACTTTTCCCATAAATAATAAAGAGTTATGTATAATAATCTAACGTCTTAAAAAGTTTAATTTGTAGCTATGATTCTTGGCCTGGAATCACTAAAGAATGATAAAGAACTCTAAGCAACGTTAAGTTTACTTGATTTTATTAAAACTAAACTGAAAGTAATTACATTAACACAAATCACAAGCAGAAGGCAACAAACAGCAGGCAGAACACCAACAACATACAACAAGAAGCATCACAAACTACAAGCAGAGGATAGCAGCAACCATTAAAGAGAAAAGGCAGCAGGCAGAACACCAAGAACAACAAGCAGCAGCACAAACAACAAGCAGAAGGCAGCACATTGAGTATCTGTTGGAGGATATGGAAAAGCTTGGATCTGTGCCGGACATATAAGCATACAATATATATTTACATTTGTTGTGTCAGGAAAATAAAATAGACTCGGCTTTAAGATTATTACGGGATATGATGCTGAAGGGAAGACAACTTGATGCTGTAACTTTTACTTTTATATACTTATTAGTGGATTGTGTAAAGTAGGGCAATTTGACAATGCTGTTGAGATTTGGCATACTATGATAAAGATTGGATTGAATCCAGATGACAAAGCTTGTAGAGCTTTGGTTCTTGGTTTATGTGGTGGTGGTAAAGTTGATTTAGCTTACGAGCTTATAGTAGATACGATGAAATGCGGAGCACCTACAAGTATACTGGTTTATAATGCCCATATTAGTGGGTTTTGTAAGGTTGACCAGATCAGTAAAGCACTCACTATCAAATCATACATGAAGAGGAATGGATGTGAGCCAGATCAAGTCACATATAATATACTGTTGGGTTATTGTTGTGATCAACTTATGCTAACGGAGGCTGAGAAACTGATGGAAAAGAATGGACATGAACCTGATATATACAGCTACAACCAATTTCTGAAGGGTCTTTGTAAAGCTAAGCGCCTAAACAAGGCGTATTTGTTGCTTGATGTCATGGAAGTGAAAGGATTATGTGATGTTGTCTCTTATAATACTATTATCGAGGGACTATGCAGTGGCCAACACACGAAAAAGTCTTACATTGGGCTGTGTAAAGTTTCTAGAATGAACGAGGCTATGAGTTCGTATCACAATATAAAAGGTAGGACCCTGTCCTGATGAGGTCACGTTTAAATTGTTAATTACAGGGCTGATACAGAAGAACAAAAATTCGGTGGCTTGTAGCTTGTTGTTATCGATGAAGGTGATAAATCAATTAAGAGTATGATTTCACAAAATTAACCCAGAAACCCCAAATAAAATTAAAATTTCACAAAATTAATACAAAAAATTTATAATTCAAGAAACATAATCAAGCAAAACAAATACCAGTCAATAATTAAAAGTACTATATAAAAAAGTATCTAATTAATTGGACCATGACCTGCGTGATATATATTCTTGACTTCTCTGCGTCGGTCGTTTCGAAATCCCATTAGCAAAAAGAATTCCCATAACATGCAATGAATAACCAAAGATTAAGCATAAGCAACATAATTTGAGTGAATAATATATCAATCAAAACCTACGAAATTGATGCCTATAACAAGGATATTACGAAAATTGATGACAAGAGCGAGGAGATTACCGAAAATTGAAGATAATACAGAAGAGAGGAACGAAAATTCAACAATTTCAAGTGATGAGATCAGATGAGATCGATCTTCAGCGAGCAAGTTAGGGTTTATGGCGTGTAGTTTGGGTTTTTTTTTTTTATTTCTTCAGTCTAAAACTTTTGGTATACTCACTGTATATGGGCAGTTTTTTTTTTTTTTTTTTTTTTTTTTATTTAGCTAGCTTAGCACGCTTTTTTTTGGGAAATTATCAATAATACCCTTCATGTTTTGGCTTTTTATCAATGATACACATCATTAAACTTTTATTATCACAGATACACCTAAACTTTTCCCTAATTTACTACAGTAAGCTTAACGTTAAGTAAACGTTAATTATACTTTGTTTAATGATGTGTATCAGTTTGCTTCTTCAATTTGGCAATTTTGTACTATCCGCGCTGCTGCTTGTTGAAGAACTGACGATAAAATGGGATTTCTCACTACAAATTATTGGAGGTGGAGGATTGCATCTAACTTCTTATCCAACAAAACCCACATCAGTAATACTCTTCTATTCAATTAATATTCTTCAAAATTTCTTCAATTTCCTATCTTAATTACCTAATTGCTTACAGAAATTTGTAAATTAATGAATACCCACTATTATTTTAGTTTCATTTTTGTAATTTGAGATACTAATTGGTTAATTTTATTTCTTTAATTTTACATTGTTGACTATTAAGCTTTATTTGTTCAAATGGAAACACTTTTGGCCTCACCCAGCTAAACCCTATAAGATTATTACCATGAAATTAGAATTTTTAATCTTGATTTTGGGATGATGATTTTGGATGGGGTTTGTAGTTCTTATGTGCTTCAATTTTGATCCTGTGAGTAGGAATTTGGAGGTAGGATAGTGGCTTTCGCAGGCCGATAATCAGCCAAGAAACTGAAGAGAATTAAGGAAAAGTTTGGAGGGAAATTAAATGAGAGGGGCGATGTAGTATTTTTAGCCTCCTAACCTTTAAAACGCTGACAACAAAGTATAATTAACGTTTACTTAACGTTAAGCTTATTGTAGTAATTTAGGGAAAATTTTAGGTGTACCGGTGATAATGAAAGTTTAATGATGTGTATTATTGATAAGAGCCAAAACCTGGAGGGTATTATTGATAATTTCCCTTTTTTCCAAAATTTTAAAGTCCCGGGATATGGGCTGTAGTCACGTGCACTAAGGTATGTTAATTTCGATGCTTTTATGTGTTGAGATCAATTGTGACGCTTAAAAGCGTCGAAAAAACACGGAAATTAATTTTCTTGCTAACACATGTTATCTGGCGTCAAGGAAAAAGCGTCTAGAAACTAAGGGATTTGTAGTAGTGATTAATTGGATTAATTAAGTTGGATGCGGAATTTAGTGGGAGTTTCGCTAATTACTTGAGCCATTTTATTGCGTTTAATCACATAATCGGTTAACAACTTTGACTAGGTTTAATTAGGCGCGTTAATCGGATTAACCACCTAAGTTAGTTACTAGTTTGCGCGTGTTATGCATTGTTACTTGCTTTTCATTGTAAAATGCATGGGCCATTCACAAATATTGAATGGATGAATGGAATGTATATTGTATTTTAGGTTTTGTAAAAATGGCAACTAGTGGGGCCTGATTAGGATAGTAAATACGGACTGCGATCCGATATGTATTTTTGTAAATCTAAATACGGTCTGCGTACCGTTGCGTATTTTTGTACCTTAATATTTAGATTAGTCCTAATCATAATAACTAGTAGTTGCATTTCTGGTGGAGATGTCTCGAAGACGGCGTTTCTAAGAAGACAAGCCAAGAGGTTGCAACGAACACCCTTGAAGACTTGAAGACTCAGGGGGTCATGCTAGTTGCCAAATGCATCTTTTACTTATGTTTTATATATATAATTATGTTTATATATGAATGAATGGTATGATAGATGCGTGTTTAGGATTTCAAATGTTGCGATGATTTATGAAGTTCACTTAAATAAACCAACATAGAAACCCTAGGTCCCTATAAAATTGAGCTAAATTTGTCATTCCAAGAACAACACTTACCGAACAAATGTGCGTAGTGATGGGATACGCCAAAGCGAGGCATCACTAATTCCCTAGGAACGTAAGGTATGCTAGGTATACAAGTTGGTCTTGGTTAAGCTCAACGATATCAGTAAGGAGTCCTTGGATGTTGTGGCAATGTAGATAAAACGTCAAGGAAACATTAGATGCGACGTTTTATCGAACCAAGTGTAGCTTAGAGCTATTAGCAATTGGATTGCTTACCCTAAAATATTAAGTGTTGAGACAAGACAAAGCATGTTTAATGAATTTTTGATTTTTGGGATCTTAGAATCATTTTATTCTCGTCTAAAAGGGGCAAATTTTAATGCGTGAATAAGACGCGTAATAAGATTGAAAATTTACATGTATGCTTTAAATTTCAAACTTATTATGTTTGTATCTTGATAAATGGTTATACTTTGCACTTATATTTGTAGAATTCTAAATCAAATTATACTGTTTTCAATGATTGGTAAAGGAAATCTTTGAGGATGGTTCTCAAAGAAAGGAAAACATTTCTAAAATACAACTCTCATAAATGACTTTTATAACTAAAATCCGAAAGGACAGTTGGATAGCATGTATTCAAAATACTAGGTAGTTTTGATGAACATGAAGTATTGAGTTGAAAAACTCAAATTGTCAATAGTTAACAACCAACATATCTTTTCACTTCATACACTAATGAGTAGGACTCATTGATGTAATAATTCAAGCATGAATTAAAGAAAAGATGGAACTTTGTTTTACAGCACATTAGATGCTTAATTATGCCTAACAAAGTATAAAAGTCAAAACACTTAAAGAAATGGTTCTTAAAGTTATGATATGATGTATGATAATATAGGAAACAAGGAACAAAGAAAAGGGATAAGATTCCTTTTCTACCCATGAGTTCATGTTATTGTAGTTAACTTAGTAACTTGTTATCTTCACAAGTATCGCATACTGCTTGAGTGTTCCACTTAGAAAGTGACCTCAAATCATTGAAGTTAAGCTAAGTTATTAACTTACAAGCTTAAAATGAAGCAAAAAGTGCTACATTAGTTGTAAGGTCATTTGCTCTATTTAAAGACCTTTTAAGCTAAGGCTGGAACAAATACTGGTTATTATGTTCCATAATCAGCAAGCGATCCGTTTACACACGGAAATACTCACATTCAAAGTAAAAGAGCAACAGTTGCGGGTTTTATTTGAATGGCATGGTTGTCTAAGCCATGAGTCAAGAATGCTAGATTATAAACAAACGTCTCCCTAACATAAAAACTCACAAAGTTCAAGTCATGGACATGATTTGTGTTCCAAACATCTTTAGCAATGTCACTAGACAAGAGCGTACTCAAGGCTCTATTAGATAGACTCTTGATAGTTGATCGGTTCGGAATCGTTGTAAGACAAGCAAGTCTTACTTGTTGAAATTGACAAAGAAAGAAGCTATTGTGCTTGATATAGACAATTGACTTGGAAAGCTAAAGAGAATTCCATTACTTCAATGTCTCATAAGAATTTAAAAGAATATGGGTATATTCATCAAATGTGAACAAACTGCATCTTAAGTAGCTCAAAAGTTCAGTGATGTATAGAATCGACTTGGCAAGATATCAAAATGTCTAAATTAGATAGAGTGATGTTTGCTTGAGCCAAGAGTGATCATATCAAAGTTATGAAATTGGAATTTCATAATTAGCTCCACAAATAATATAGTATGTCTTAACGGAGACCTCGATGCCATTTGGAAATGACTCGAATGATGATGGATAACATCACTTCCTGTAACGTTCTTAAAGATTTGCACAAATGACTAGTGTTACACTAAACAAAATTGTCGAAGCTAAGAAAGGATACCATATTTAGGTATGGATAGAAATAGTTTCTAGCGTCTTTTCAGGTATATGTCTAGGGCTCTTAGCTCAGTGAGAGTTTACTGGCTCAATGGGAGCCAAGTGGCCCAATAAGGGCTAAGGTAGCTCGAGTGGGAGTTAACTGTTTGTTTCACAACGAACTTTTACCCAAAGACTATATACATGTCTCTTTGTAAGCATTCAAGTGGACTACGAGCATTACTTCCACAACCTAATTCAGAACATAGTATTTGTTGCTCTAAGTGGTGTCTTTCTGGAAAGTTACACATTTCCAAAACGACAAGTGGGAGGAAAATGAACTCGATGACTATCGAGATTAGCAACAAACTTAAACTGAGAATCTCCGAAGACTTTAGAAGGAATTCATGAGAATGATTGATCAAGAATACTCAAAGGACTTTACAAGTGCCTTAAATGAGAATTCAGCACTTACAAAACTTTAGAAGTGTTAGAGTAAGATCAATATAATCAAAGGGCTTTAAAAGCACCTAACTCAGTGTTTGATGCAATTACCCCGTATAGGTATATAATTCACCAAAGGCTTGGATTGAATCCTATAAATTTCTATTAAGTTAGAAATAAACCTAAGACTTACAAGCATACTATTTACTATTAGATGGTAAGGGAATAGTGTCTTGTAAATTAGCTACAACAAATCCAAATTCCAAAAAATGGTTAGAGGCCATAAAATCCGAAGTAGACTCCATGTTTGAAAATCATGTTTGAAACTTGATTAATTTGCATGAAGGGTTAGACCCATCGATCGCAAATAAGTTTTCAAGGAGAAAACTAACAAATGTAGAAATGAAATGTATACATAGCTAGATTAGCTAAAAAGGTTACAATTAAATTCATGGCGTTAATTTAATAAAACCTATTCACTAATCGGAAAGCTTAAGTCTTTTCGTGATTATTCTAGCAAAATTGCGCAGATTAATTATGGCAAAATAGATAACGAAACCGCCTTCCTAAAATGGGATTTAGGAAGAGACTATGGATATAGTCTAAGGGTTTTTGTAATTCTAAATAATGCTAGATTTGAAAGAAAGCTCAAGAAATCCATTGTGTGATTAAATGAAGCATTGCATGTAGGAATTGGAACGTGTATTCTCATAAAGTTAATAAAAAGGTTTAGCTTATGGAGAAACATAGAAATTCTTATGGATAAGAAGTTTAGTGGGAGCAAGAGTCGACCTTGTAAGGTCCAACAAGAAGTTTACGAA